CATGAGTGCTGGTGAGGAGGAGGAGGAGGAGCTCTTCTTTGTCGCAGCTGAAGGCAAATAGCCCCAGTTTAGAGCTAGGGAACCAAAGTGGGGAGCCTTCTCTCTGACTTGGGCTTGTTAAGCAAGCCACGGAATCAGCACAGGAGCGCTTTGCCGTTTCTCTCCCTGCACCGAAGCCTTTGCAGTGCTGGGGTTGCAGGATTAGTCCCTGGCTGCCGCCAGCGCTGCAGGCCACAGCGGCACATCAGTACCCTGAGTTTCAAGAGACTGTTTTGGCACGTCACAAAGGTGACGACCCCTATCTTGGCCTTTCTTGTATCCATCACGTTATCAGAAGGAGGTGGGTTCCAGCAGAAGATGCTTTGTGCTAGCAGCCCCTTTCCCCTTCAAAGAATCACAGAATCACAGCATGGTGGGGGTTGGAAGGGCCCTCTGGAGATCACCCAGTCCAACCCCCTGCCAAAGCAGGGTCACCCACAGCAGTTACACAGAATTGTGTCCAGGCAGGTTTTGAGTCTCTCCAGAGAAGGGCCTCTCTGGGCAGCCTGTGCCAGTGCTCTGCCACCTTCAAAGTACAGAAGTTCTTCCTCATGTTGAGATGGAAGTTCCTGAGTTTCAGTTTGTGCCCATTGCCCCTTCCCCTGTCGCTAGGCACCACTGCAAAGAGTCTGGCCCCATCCTCCGGACACCCGCCCTTAAGGTATTTATAGCTATTGATGAGATCAAAGGACCAAAACTATGAAACACTGAGCAGCACATTCTGCCCGATATCTGAAAATGCTTAAGACTAGGTGTTGCCTGTGTGCATGTGTGCAGCATACAGCACCGGCATATCAGCAGATAGCTCTGCAGGTCTGGGAAAACAGAAGCATCCCAAGGAAGATCAAGTCTTTGACAACAGTCCTCAGCAATTACTTTTCTGTGAAGAATGGAGTTCAGCTCTGCGTATGTGGCACTCTGACCATCTTCATTAACGATACAGTGATCCAGATCTATTAGAAATCAGCATGCACCATCTGCTGCCTTTGCTTTTCTAGTTTCCAAGCAATGTCGCTTACTGGATCTAACAAATTAAAGCCAACCAGATATTTGAAGTCTGGTTCACAGGCAGAATGGCTGGAACAAAAAAAATCTATTTAGAGGACTACAAAGCTTTTCGGAGTAGTCCCCGCACTACACATGGCTCTGGGAAGCCTGTCCCATTGCCAGCCAGGCTGACTGTGTCCTGCTGACTGCTCACTGTGTGTCTACAATGACATGTCCGTTCAAGAGCACTTCTGAAATGCTTCTCCCATCTGTCCCCACTTACTGCGTGTGGCTCCGTGACACGAGTCAGTCTTGGAGTGCATTGAATGGATTCCTTTCAGATGAAGTTAAACAGGAAAACAAACCATAGGAATAGCCCTGATGCATGCCGCTGGCTAACAGGCCATCAGTCCACGTGCTCGGCCTGGAGCTAGGTGGATGTAAAACCCCTGATGGCTCAGCCCTTCGCCCACTTCTGTCCTTTCCAACCAAGAACCAGGCTGTGGAGGTGACAGCTCACGCAGTGCTCCCTGAGGCAGTTCGTAGTCTCCCAAGGAAGAGGGAATTAATTCTCATTAATGCTCACAGGGCCAAGGGAGGGGATCCCAGCCCTTCTCCTGGGCTGGCAGGAGGCACAGTCTCATGTTGAGACAAATTCTTCAGGCAGAGGAGAGGGAAGGCGCTGCAGCTCAGCAAACAGCTGGGACTGCCGGAGCAAGGGCAGCACTGGGCCGGTACAGGGTGTGAGCATTTCAAAGCACTCTGTAATGTTTCTAGTAACCCAAAGCACTTAAAAGTACACTCTAGTACTTACTGTCAGGTTAATTTATTAGCAGAAAACATGTTTTGCTGTAAGGCAGACAATTAACAGAATTTCTGTAATTCTCAGTCAAGAGGCAAAATTATTACTGATAGTTAATACCTGCAATTAAAATGACTGCTCTGAAATGAATGGAAGAAACCCAAAACGCATATGGAAATTTCATACAATATATAAAATATATAACTTTTACATTTCTTAATTTTAAATACATTGTAGTTTTTATGTAAGAAACATCCTAGAGTTCATTTGCAAAATAAGCACCGCAGGAGATGTCCAGTCTTCCGTGGCTCTCCCTGGTAAGCAGATGACATGCACAGCAGCACCTACAGAGTCCACGGCTTGAGAGAGAAACCCTATTCACATTGTTCCTGTTGGCCAAGATAAAGATCCTACTTTGTAATCCCAGTAAGAATTAAAGAAGTAGGGTTATATGGTTAATCACAGCCTACAGATATTTGTGAGCCTCTGTAGAAATTCAGCGAGACAGAAAAAGCCAGACTTCCAAGCCTTCAGCCTTACAAGCAATTCCAAGTTTCACAGAAAGTTTTGTACAAAAATCCTCTTTTTAAAAAACAATAAAAAGTAAAGATAGATAGAATCTTAACTCCTCATGAGGTACAGGTTACCAGCAGCATTCACTGCAGTGTAGCTATTTAATATGTAGTGTGATATTTGACTTGTATCTTGATTTACTTCTCCATGTACCCAGGCCACCTATGATGTTTCAGGGACTTTTGAATTTCAGCTGTTCCCATAAAGACACAGACTTCTTTACCGATTTTGATACTAGCTGACTGATCAGTATAAAACTTGAAGGGGCCTTAAACCTGCCCCTGTTTTTTTTCCCTGCTTCTGCCTCAAGTAGAAGAGCATTGCCAACAGATTATGGAAATAAGAAAGTTTCAGTGGGTGGAGTGGGGGCGGACTTTTTACTCTAATCTGGATGGTGTTCTTCTGTAGAAAAAGCCAAGAGTAATTATTCTAACACAAGATGCTTACAAGAAGTGTGTTTGGGGGAAATATGCCAAAGTAAAATATTTATGATTAAAAAAGATTATAATCTTGTTTATGAAACACCAACATTTTATTTTAACTTCATATGGAAGTTCCAAACAATGAAATTATATGAAATATTATCCTTGTTGAGAGGAAAAAAACTGTCTTTCTGAGGTTTGTACAGCATCCAGACCAATAACTTAATCCCCAGGCCCTGGGTCTGACAGGTGAGGCATAGAGCTGTCGCAGCTGGATCCGCTGGTTCAGGAACCTGGGTTCCTCCACACTAGATTACAAGACCTGGTGAAGAGGCAGTTCAGCAACTTCCTCATGAGCTACTTATGAAAAAGCACAACCCTTAGCTGACAAGCAGTGTCAGATTTTTCTCCTTCATTCATTACCTGGTCCTGGGAAATGAAACTATGTACCCTGCTTCGCAAGACAGCAGTGGTGCAGGAGGTCAGCCAGTTGCCTGATGCGATTTCTGCTGCTGACACTGCATGCACCACACTCAACCAGCAGCCCTAGAGCAGCCTTCAGTCTAACTACGCTCAGAGAAACAGCAGTTTCTCCAGCTCTGGTGAGAGTGAATTCTCATGGTGGTAAGAGGATATAAGCATTCCCCAGTTCTAAAGTCCAGGGACTCAAGAATGAAGTTATACTAGGAGCCGTGGGGAATCACAGCTCCTTGTTGCAGCTCTAAGGATCAAGAGCTGTACCTGAAGTTACAGGACCAGTAGCCAAACTGGGTGAGAACAGACTCCATATAATTAATGCCATGTTAAGGATGCTTTGCACACTATCCAATCCCAGCTTTCCTATATCGTTCCAACCTTTTCCAAAGTCTAAAAGAAACAAACAGAACCTACAGCGGCATCTTAAGACACGATTCCCCTTCCAGGACTTTAAGGAGGGCAACAAAGACAAGATGCCTGAAAGAACTGGAAAAAGGCCATTTATATATCCCACCAGCAGCAGCAGCAAAAGGTTTAAGGTGTTTGCACTTGAGAGCTCAGCTGAGGAGTGAACAGGAACTCTTGGAACATCTGCTAAAACAAACAGCTAGAGGTCATAATCAAAGCAGCAAACAGATGGGAGTAAGGAGAGTGACCTCTCAAAAGATGCTGCGTACAACTCCCTGTTCTGGTTACCTGTTACCTACCCAGTCCCCCTTCAAAACTAGCAACGTTAGACTGCAGTTTCACTGGCTGTTTTAATGTCACCCTTGCTCCATGTGCAGTCATCCAAGAGATTGGCACCTGAAAAGATTCAGGCTATTCCACTGGTACAGATCATCCTATCTAAGGAACAACAGGACATCTGGCACTTTAGTAGCTTCTGTAGTCCTAGAAGCCCGTTAGTGAAGATTAACAAAACCTAAACACTAGCAATCTTCACATAGTATGTAGGGGCCAGTGAGATGTATACAGCCAAATTCTTTCAGGCCTGCATCCAGAAGCTGAGAAAAAGCAAAGCTCATCTTTGTCTACATTAATTCAGATGGGCTGCACTTGAGGAAGCACACAGAGCAGCAATGCAAGTACCACAAAACAAAAGAGTTCTACTGCTATGGTAGTTGGAAGAGGTGATGTAGGAGAGACAAGCTTGATCTCCAAATCACTTCCCTAGCAACTATTGCCATCCCAATGGCTTTGTCTGCTTTATACAAGCAGACTGAGAAGCAAGAGCCACTTTCAGGAACAGGAATAATTGCTAGTGATTATTCATCTACCATTTCCTAGAAGATTCCATCGACGATTGTACTTGAAGAACTAGGGCTTCTTTCTGCATTCTGCTAGCCCAGAACTTAGAAATTCATTCCCTCAATCCCTACATCAAGCAAAAAAGATACCATTTTATTATTACTCTGATCTACCAGCAATAAACTTCCAGTATTTTTTTTTAATGTGTTAACAATGATTAGCCACCCAGTTACTTTCACAGAAAATACAAGTAGCATTTTTCCCCCATGAACTTCTAAATTAAAAAGACCTTCAGATAAGTCTGTAAAACATTTAAGACATCATAAATAAACTTATTCTAAAAATCACTTTCCAAACAATAAATAAAACTCTTCCTTATCTGAAAGTGCAAACAGGCTGCATTATAAAAAGTACAGAGCAAGACTGCTGAAGTGCTTAATTATTCAATAGTGACCAAGACATAGTTTCTTGTTTTGGTGCTGCTGGTCATCTAGTGATTTTGTTTTCTGGATCCCATCTAAAGAAAAAAGAAATATGTGCGAAACATGAATACAATAGTAAGTGCAGTCTAAATAGTCGACACATACAGGCATACTGGAATAACACTGGGGGGGCTGATTGGAGTTGGGGAGCTTGTCTTCTTCCCCATACGGACGAACATGCAATAATCAAGAAACTGCTAAGGAAAAATACAAACTTAAACCAGTTCAGTGTTGAAAATGCAAGCATACCATCTTGAAGAAAACATTGTTAGAAAAATGAGCCCTGTTAAGGGTTGTCAAACAAAGTACCCCAGGATGAATCTTTCTCTAGCTAGGTCTAAAAACCATTAGCTGGGAGAGGGACAAACAAGCCCTAATATTTTGCAGTGATTACTAATGCCATAAGCACTACTCTGAGCCCGTCCCTCCTCCCTTTCCCCGCAACTCATAAGGAAATAGCTAACAAAGAGACTTCTCCGCTCATCTAGCTCACTACATGTTATGAATTAGCTTGTGTAGCTATTCATGTGCTACAAAAACCACCTTCAGTCTTTTTTATGCTCCTAGCATGGTGCTCAATGCTTTGAGTAACTGCCAACTCCCTATCTTTATGCTCCATATCTTCACGCTTTAGGCACAAAAATTATTTGGCTCCTTTTCCACATTATTTTCCCCTCTGGATGAGAAACATTTTAAGGACTGGTGGCTGACAGTAGATGCCAATGGTGGGTCTCTTTTGTAGCACAAAAAGGCTTCAACATAAGACTCAACTAAACTCTGTTTTCAGAAGATGACGGCTCCCTTGCTACAGGGGTGCAGGATAGCAAGGATTTTGTGGCCTTTATATTATATATGTGTATATATACACACAAAAATAAATGTTGATTGAAAAGCATTGGCATAGATTCTACTTCGTAAAAGAAACACTGAACTGTTCCGCAGAACATATTTAAATGACTTGGAGGAGTCCCATTTCTCTTGAAAAAGAATGGCACTATTTATAGAACAAAATTTAAAACATGATAAAGTAGTCTGAAATTATCTATGTGCAAAACAGCATAGACCTTGATAACAGCATTACTAGGTTTTATAACATGTGCGCCAATGCCAAGCATTTGTTAAAAGAAGCTTATGTTTTTGACTTACTATTAGTTCATCTATTCAAAAAGCTCAGAGAAGTTTTCATAGCAAAATTTAACTGATCGAAATCAAGATTAATTAAGACTAATCAATCCCAGAGGATTCAAGTTCGTTTAAAATGTGATCTCACTTGTTGACTTCAGTCATAAAGTGAATTAATGAAAAAATACTTACTTTCCCTGGCTGTGGGGTCATGGAATTCAAGGGCATTAGTGTGCAATGGATTTAGTTGCCACTGGTAAAAGAAGATGAAAAAGCTTACATATTGTAGAAGACAGAAGAAAGAGCAAAGGGAGAAAGAAAAAGTACCCTGCAGTCCTTCACTGTAAGGCATGACTCGGGGTGAGGTGGGAAATGAAGGGCTCCCCCTCCAACACACACTTGCTTCAAGGATAAAAAGCTATTAAGGGATGCGTGGTCATTTACTCCCCTGAGAAGGGGAGATGAGCCTGCTGAAACCAGCAGTTTGTCATGGCAAGCAACCTGCGTGCAGGTGCACTTGGCCACCTTCAAAACCCACCGGAGCTCTTTCAGGAGCTGCTGGAAGGGCCTACAAAACCACACAGTGATCTCCCACATCAGCTGCCGTGCTGTGACAGGGAGGCTTGGAGAGAACTTGAAGAGACCACCTCAAACAACAGCAACGAGTTAGAAGGAAATCTGCAAGGAAATTACAGAAGACAGACACACTTGGCCCCACCATCTGGCATACGGCAGAGCATTTCTCCCCAGTGCCATGACAAAGCAACCTCTCAATTCCACTCACTTGACTAAACAGCGTAAGAAAACACATCTCTATGCTGGTGGCGGAGGATTGCTCACTCTACCCTCTCTGCAATGCTGCCCTGAGCTTTTAGATATAGTATATTTAGACACTTACTGTAAATTTGCTTACACCCTCAAGTTCACCAAACTTCATATAGGATATGTCTGCTTTCTTTTTTCCAGCATCAATATCTCCTGTATAGATCTGCTTGATACCAGCCCCTTTGATTAAAGGGACACATTCGTCACATGGACATTTCGTCACAAATATCATGCTTCTCTCATCCGGCTTTATTTCTCGACACCTACAAGCAGTCAGAAAACAGAATTTCAGAGTTTATATCTTGATAGTTTTGAATGGTGACAAACTTGATATCTCACAAGAACAAGCAAAGAAGTGTTGTATTATCTACTCTCAGAAGCAACTTATTCCTACTCAAGTGCACAAATACACGACATCTGGTTTGGTTTTACTATCTGGGAACAAAACACCCATCCCACCCCTCCACACATATCATTGCTGGAAGCCTCAACAATTGCCACACTTCCATATTTCAGGTTATGGCATGGTCCTAGCAGGAAGCAGAGGCAGTGGCTTGTATCTGAAGGATAGCTGCCATGCATTGGAGTGAATATCCTTTAAAAACCAAGTTCACTTCCGAAGTCTGAAGAAACCTCAAGAGCTGACTGTGTCTGTGCACATCCAAGTTCTGCATTTTAGGCATAAACAATATCGTGATTGCAATCCACACTTCGTCACACTGACGTCATGCAGTTGCTTCTGAACTGTCTCATTCTTTTCTGTGGTAAAAATAAACCCATTACCTGAATGTCAAGGCATTCTGCTCCGCATGTATAATGTATCTGAACTTTCTGATTTCCCGATCCTTTTGTTTATCATCCATGTGTGGAAAATCAGCATATTCAGATCCAACAGGAAAGGCATTGTATCCACAGCCTACAAAATACATTGATCCTGTTCCATCACAGCTCCTCTGCAACAGTAAGCAAAGCATCAAATTTGGAGACATTTAAACTAAGTCGAAGTGTTGTGCAATGTATACTTCTACATTCTCAGTTCATGCCAAGTTACAGTAGCTAAAAGAGAACTCACTTCTTGCTAACTGCTCCCTGTCTGTATGGAGTTTTTCCATCAAGCTCCATAGAAGCCACACAAGCAAACTGTTAACAGCGCAAACACACTGCATCAGCTTTAGAGGCTTTCCTTTTAGCACAGAACACTGATAGCAGGAACAAAAAGTCTGAAGGATTGAGTCCTTAAGCCCTTCTGCAGGGTACCAAATTAAGGGCAGCTGGAGTTAGCCCCCAATGTGCCATAGACTATGCTTCACATGTCTGTCAACAGACCTGGTGACCAGTGGGCTGGCAAAGTGGCAACGGGCGATTGAAATTCAGAACAAGATGCAAAACAGCAATAAGCAGCTGAGGACTGAAGAGCTAAAAACTAGTTGTGCTGAGTTTGGCTGGGATAGAGTTAACTTTATTCACAGTAGCTGGTATGGGGCTATGCTTTGGATTTGTGCTGAAAACTGTTGATAATTCAGGGATGTTTTCATTACTGCTGAGCGGGGCTTACCCAGAGCCAAAGTCTTTTCTGCTTCTCACCCCACCCCACCAGCAAGGAGGCTGGGGATGTACAAAAAATTGGGAGGGGACACAGCCGGGACAGCTGACCCTGACCAACCAAAGGGATATCCCATACTATATGTTGTCATGCCTAGTGTATAAAGCTGGGGGAAGAAGAAGAAAGCGGGGGGACCTTCGGAGTGATGGCATTTCCCTTCCCAAGTCACCGTTACGTGTGATGGAGCCCTTCTTTCCTGGAGATGGCTGAACACCTGCCTGCCCATGGGAAGTGGTGAGTGAATTCCTTGGTTTCCTTTGCTAGCGCACCCGGCTTTTGCTTTACCTATTAAACTGTCTTTATGTCAACCCACCAGTTTTCTCACTTTTCCGATTCTCTCCCCCATCCCACTGGGGAGGAGGGAGCGAGCGGCTGTCCGGGGCTTAGTTGCCAGCTGGGGGTAAACCACGCCCGTCCTTTTTGG